AATGCTAGTGGATTGATTGTAAGTGTATATATAGATTAGATCGGGAAAATCTTTTAGATCAACTTAAAATTTCGAGTTAATTCTTGAATGAACGAATTGTATTATATATGATGACTTATGCCTCGTATCCCCTGTACATGTCATATATATGAATGATATGTTATGTTGTGCTATATTATGTCATTTTATACTATGTTATGTTATAGTAACTTACGTCATGTTTAAAAGTTATGCTACAATGTTATCATATCATGTTGTATAGAACTGTTAAAAAATCTATATTCTATTATGTATAAACCTCCATAGACAATGCTATGTACGAAAGAATGTATAAAAATTACATATGCGTAATTCATAGACTTATTATGTTATAGGAACCTCATGCATATTTTTGTGTCACGTGCATTAGAACACTTCCTCATTAGACATTTATGTTTGTCATGATGTTATGCGGGCTCTTTCCTTTTGCGATGTTCGACAAGAGCACGTCAGCAAGTACTAGCCTAACGACCCAAAAGGTGCACCTTGTTAGTATAGATAGTAACTTTTAACCCATTATATTCTTAGAATTGATCTCGTTATCCAAATTTATTTATATAACTCGTTTATTCGAACATAAACTCTTAAGTTATAATAATATATAAATAGTTGAAAAATGGATTAAAAAAAAGTAGAGTGCCTGGTTGTTTGAAGTTGTCTTTTTCACAAAATACACAAACACTAATCGGCGGCCAGCGGCTCACACAAACTTGTTCCCTCGCCGGATTTGCCTCTTTCTCACGTCTTCTCTTTCAATTATATTACTCTTTTTTGTTTCTTTTTGTTTGTCTCCATTTTTTGTTCTTCAATAATATCAACACTTCCTATAATTATATATTTTAACTATTTTTTTTAAATCATGGTTTTAATTAATAAATATTCATCCATATTTTTTAAAAAAGTATTGGCTTATTATTTATTTTTGTACATTTAATAATATAAGAACAAATACTTTTATGTTGATGTCAAACTCATGACTATACAAAAATAACAAATACTTTTGATTTTAGTACTAGTTTGTCATCTAAAGGCATATAGCATTATGTTAAATATTATATAAATTAAAATGACACGTATAATTAATTTATATAAAAAAAATTAAAATAAAAATTTTAGAAGTTTATTGATTGAAGTTTTATTTAAGGGAAGGGTAATTTTTATTTATTTATAATAATTTGATATTAAAATTTAAAAAATAATATAAAAAGAGGAGAAAAAGTGAGGGACAGGGATGTGGCAGAGACAAGTTGGGACATAAATAGTTAGATTGAAGAGGACATATCAACAAAGCTTTGGATACTCCATTCATATGATTTCATGGTTATTTATTCATTCTTCATTTTCATCTAAATTAATTACTTCAAATAATAAAATTAATTCTAATTTCTTAGTAAAAAATACTGTAACAACAGTAAAAATAAAAATAATAATAATAAATAAATAAATAGTAATAACTAAAAAAAATGGTAACTGATCACTCCCTCTCCTTTAATCTCGCACCACTCTTTCTTAAAATAACTCTGATCACTGTTTCTTTCTAAAAACAAAACAAACAGAAATAAAAGAAAGGTTTGACAGATTTACCTAGAGTTCCTTCTTTCTTGCAAAAACAAATAAAAAAATAAAAATGTTTAAATTTAGTTGCTGAAACTAGATAATATTTGAAGAGGCCAGTAGTCTTCATTTTATTTTATTTATTTTATTGAATGATATTAATTTAGTTACCGTTAGTTTTGAATTAGAGGATTAAACAAAAAGAATTTTGTATGAGTCTTAGGAAGTAATAATTGATTAGAAGATTGCTAAAACTAATAGGAAGAAACAACTAAGAATGGATTAAAAAATTAGCTAAAATCAACTATAAAGAAGGAAACAAACTAGAGGGAAGATTATGAATATAATAAAAAAAAATCGTGAATATAATTAAAAGAAAGGAAAAAAAATTACAAATACAAAATAAAAGACAAGATTGAGAGTAAGAATGATTAAAACTAACCTTAATAACGTCTTTGTTATGGGCTTTTTTTTTATGTTAACCGAAAAGGAACACCTGATACGAATTAAATTTACATTTTAATCCCTAAAGTTTTCAATATTGCATTTTAGTACTCGAACTGTGTTTTTAGAAAGTGTGGGAGGCTAATCATTTTTTAAAATACTTTTCTTTTTCCTTCTAATAATGGAGAAAATGATATTTTTTTTTGTCTCTTTTTAGTAATATCTAAAATAAATAACCATAGGATTGGTTGAATAAACCGTTTCATTAATTATTATTTTGTATTAAACTTTTAAAACAATGCAACAAAACTAATATGGCCTACGTTCTTAAAAAATTGCACTTTTATACGAATTTTCATGAGTATTGAAATTGGTTTGAGTCATTCAAACCATAATTGAAATCAATTAGTATTAAAAAAAAAAATAGAATGTACATGGCTTAAAACAATAAAAATACACGTAAATTTTGTACTTTGTGATACGAACTAAGAGACATCAATCAAATAATATACTTCAACGAAGATGTGAAGAAAATATTATTGAAATTATCAAAAGATATTTCAATTCATGTCACATTGAAAAAGAATTATTACAATTTAGTGTAATTTAGAGTTATTGTATTTCATTAAGGTATTTGAACACTTCTTATTTACATTAGGTTACAATTACATAATGGTTAATTATGGCTATTAAGTATGAATGTTACCGATGTTGGAATACCTTTAATAATTTCATTTTGAAGCTATATAAAACCATGTATGTTGTATTTGTAAAAAGATTTGGAAAATATAGTAAAATGAGCATTTATGCTTTCTATAACCAATGGCTAAGTTTTTTTTTGCAATTCGATGTAGTTTAGGTTTTATGTAGAATCATTCAAGCTCGACATGATCAATCTTGCTTGTGGAGTGATTTGAATCTCAAACAAGTGTTCTTGCGTTGAGATATTTGATCAACAAGAATCATTGAAACTAGACATGATCAATCTTACACGTAGAGTGATTCGAATCTCAAACAATGTGTTTTGCCTTGAAATACTCAATCAACAAGGTAATCCGAATCTTACTCCCTTTGTAGTGATTCCTTATCTTATCACTCTGTCTTAAAGATACCCCTAAACTTTTTAAATTTTCAATAATACCCTTAAATTTAAAAAATACCCTTATTATATGTTTTCGATGGAAATAATTAGTAGTTCGTTTAAAAAATACTTTTGAATTTTAATTTTTTTGTTAATATTTTTAACTTTTAGTCGAACACCAGATTTTAAAAATCACCCATGAAATTTAATATTAAGTTTTTTAACTTTAATAATTTAAAAAAAAAAAAACTTACTTATAATAATCTTATTATCTTTAAAAATTCATGGATATTTTTTAAACTTAATACTAACGGTGATAATTTTAAATTTTATTTAAAAAATTTAAGTATTTTTTTTTTTTTTTGAGTGAAAGATTATGTTAGAAATTGTTCTCAAAATTTAAGAATATTTTTAAGTAAAATGTTAATGGTTTCTATCCAAACTAATCTTTTTTTTTTTTTAGGATTTTATTGAAAAAAATTAGAAGTAAATGCATGATGATTTGGCAAGTATGATATTTATTGTATTTACTTGGCTTACTTTTTGTTTTTGTCAGCTTATGCCACATCATCATCATATTTTAACTTTTTATCTATCATTTGTGTAAAACATCAACATGTCAGTCAAAATTGACAGACCAAAAATAATTTCTAGCTGACTTGTCACAAAGAATGTTTTACTGTTTTTTTTTTCACCTCTACTTAGTTTTTGAAAAAAAATCTTTTTTTTTTTCTATTGGGAAGAATTGCCACCACCATTTGAAGGTAATTGTTATCTTTTGATTTTTTCTTTTGAGTTTCCCTTTAAAAATTTTAAAACGCATTGTGATAAGATGTTTTTATCCGAGAGATTTTCATACTCTTCTAAGAAATATTTATTTTTCTCTCCAATTAATATGGGGTGTCACATTAACCATAAATTAGTCAATAAGAATTCTAACGGAACCTCGATTTTCAATATGCATTTAGTTATTTTTTAGATCTAGTTTTGTTTTTCAAGGTTCGTTGAAGTTAAGATCATACAATTGACAAGAGGAAAATGATCGTATTGTTAACTGGTTATTTTAATATTACAATGTAGTATCCTACATATTTAGTGAGCGGGTTAGAATGGTAAGGAAATTTTGTGGGGTTAGAGATAAGGACGAAGATGGGGAATATAATCTCTGTCTCCAACTCCATTTAGCAAACGGGTAAAAATATCTCTTCACATCCTCTTCTTGTTCTCCATTCTGACGAAAATTCTTCACTTCATTCAAGGCAGATCTCTTCGATGTCTTGACCCGCAGTTAAATAGATCTCTTTTAAAGATAGTTGAATACAAATTAAAAAAAAAAAAAAATCTGTAAGTTTTGTAATGATGATTGCTATAGATTTGAAATTGCGAGATCGAGAACCCTAAGCCTTAGGCATTAAGCAGTATACCAACAAGGACGTTGAGTCTCAATGGAGTGGACACAGAGTGGTGTGCCAGCGAGGAAGCTGGGACTTGAAGGTGGTGGATTGTGAGATCCTATATCGATTAGAGAGAGGAATAAATGCTGGCGAGAAGGTTGGACCCTAAAGGAGTGTGGATTGTAAAATCCTACGTCAGTTGAGGAAGAGAGATAATCAATGGGTAAGTGTTACGTGGCAAATAATGAAAATTTGGAGCGCAACGATGGAGGTAAAAAGAGAGATGAAAGGGAATCCAAATAATAAGGGAATAAGCTTATTTGTAAATGTATTATATATTATGACAAGTAGTGCCCACATGGCAAACAAACCCAGCTGCTGAGCTGTCCTCTACTCTTCTATATTCATATGCTGATTATACCCCACCACAATTTAAAAATTTATAAATAAATAAATAAAATATTCCACATCATAATTACAAAAATTATATTTAAAATTAAAAAAATAAACATAAAAGACCAACACAACAACAACACACACTCACTGTCCCTCTCCCTAAACAACAAACAAATCCCTCCACTCCACATCTTCGAAATGACCACAACCTCCCACCATTCCGCCACCGTTTCCTCCGCCGTAACCTGCCGGAAAAGGCGGAGGACCTTAACCGAAGAATCAACCCCCAAATTCAGAGGAGTTCGCCTGAGAGCATGGGGGAAATGGGTGTCGGAAATAAGAGAGCCAAGGAAGAAATCAAGAATATGGCTCGGAACATACCCCACGGCCGAGATGGCAGCGCGTGCACACGACGTGGCTGCACTTGCCATCAAAGGCCACCGCGCCTTCCTCAATTTCCCTCAAATCAAACACCAACTCCCCCGCCCAGCCTCCCTTTCCGCCAAGGACATTCAGGCCGCCGCCGCACAGGCCGCCGCCCTCAAACACCAGCCAAACCCCACCGAATCAAGTCCCTCGGAAACGACGTCGTGTGAGGAAGAAGACACATGGTTTGATCTGCCGGATCTTGTTGTACGAGGAATAAACGATGGGTTCTTGTTGGATTTTGATTATTCGTCGTCTTCGTCGTCATCATCATGGCACTTCTCCGGAGATCACGACGACCTCCAATGGCACTCCGATTATGCTCATACCATTTTTCCCGCTTGAGTTTTTTTTTTTTTTAGTTAAATTAAATTCTGCTTTTTGTATTATTCTCTCTGCCCAAAAGAAAAAAGAAAAAAGAAAAAAAAAAAAGAGGGAATTACAGTGAAGAAGCTTGTGGAGCTTGCTTGCTTGCTTGGACAACTTATATATATATATATTTATATACTTTTTTTTTCTTCTTTACGTATACATAAATAAACTGAAAGTAATTTTAAATAAAAATAAAATGATAAAATTACATTTTAACTCATTGATGGTCTCTTTCACTTTGGTGTTCTGGCTAGATTTTATACAAAGGTGGTGGGGGCTTTTTGGTCAAAGGGTTTTTTTAAAAAAAAAAAAAAAAAGATAAAAAATGCCTTTAGAATTAAAAATTTTGGAAGATTTGGGAGTATTTAATTTATTAATTTAGAGTTAATTAAAAAGTGTAATTAAGAAGGTGAAGGAAGTAAATACCTGGAGTACATGAAGATGGGCATTGGAATTGCTCGCCAATCATTAATGAATATGGTTTTAAAGTCCCATAATCATGTTGGTTAAAGTTGTACACAAAAGCCACATTGGATGCTTACCCATTTCCCCTTGTTTAAAATTAATTCAACACTTGCAATACCAATAACCACAATTATAACCCAAAAATAAATTATTATATTAATTTTTAATCTCGTTTAGTTATATAATATATTCGTATTTTCTATTTTTATTCTCCTTTTATTTATCTCAAAAATAAAAAAATAAAAAAATAAAAAATTAGTAATTAAATTATTTAAAGGTCAAAATTGACCTTTTGAGCTTTAAGGAAATACAAGGGTAAAAGTGTTATTCCATATAATTATTAGAATAAAAAAAACATAAAATCACAAATTATACTAATTTTGTATATATAAAAAATCATATTAAAAAGTTGGAAATTTACCATATTCTTCACATGGCTATTATATAACACAAATATTGCCTACACCTTTACATTTTATATATACTTTTTTATTTTGATACTCTTAATTAGGTTTCATTTAGTTCACGAACTTTAGAAAGTTTATAACGATTTTCTCGAACTTTAGAAAGATGTGATAGGAATTACGTATGCATAGATTCATTATGTTATAAATGAATGGAAGTTGACTTGTATCATAAATTTATGTGATGATTTTAAGTTACGGAGACCTCGACATTTTTGTGTGTCATATGCATCGAGATAATTCTCCATTATGTGGGCCCTTTTTCTCTGTAGTGTCCGACAACTCATTAGCAAGTGTTAGCCCAACGAGCCAAGCCTAGGAGGTTAGCAAGACATCCTAGTGAGTCCATGTGTGTGTGCGTGGATAATGTCTAGAGAAGTACTACTCATCTAACCTTGCCCAAACTAAAAAGCCACCTAATGTCATGCCATGTTGTTTTTAAAATGATAGATCCCACCACATTGCATGTGTTTGTGATTCTCGGCCTCAACGTTGAAATTACTTATTGAGTATTTATTAGAATACTTAAGCTACGTGCTACTTTTATTTTTTAGGTAAAGATAAGACACTCATGTACAGATGACGATGTCTCGATGAAGGTCATGGAACCAATGTTAGGGTAGCCTCATTCATGTCTTTTCAATAGCCCACCACATTGCATGTGTTTGTGATTCTCGGCCTCAACGTTGAAATTACTTATTGAGTATTTATTAGAATACTTAAGCTACGTGATACTTTTATTTTTTAGGTAAAGATAAGACACCCATGTACAGATGACGATGTCTTGATGAAGGTCATGGAACCAATGTTAGGGTAGCCTCATTCATGTCTTTTCAATAGCCCTTAGGTTAGTTCAAGAGCTTGTTTATTTACTTTAGTTTATGACATTTATCTCCCGCTTTGCTACTTATGATTACGGTGTTTAAAAGTTTTTGTTTTGAATAATAAGTTCATGGCACCTTTATAAAAGATTTTAAAGGGATGTTTTCCACGCGCATTAATCACGTCATGCATGTAGTAGCAACTTTATTATAGTAGAAAAAAATTGGTTCATTACAAAGATGCACGTGGTTGGTATAGATAATAACTCTCAATTAATTTAAGCTATTCTTAGCTATCCTATCCTCGGGATTGCTCCTATTCATGTTCGTCATCTCCATTTTCAAAAGATACCGAATACACCGAACTTGACACGAAACTTTTCAAGTCATGTCCACTCTAGAGATGGGGCACAATGATAGCTTAATAGTTTGAAATGTAAGATCTTGGAATGAAAATGAAGATTTTTTGTAGAGAAAACCATAATAGAATGACATAAGGTTTGTGGAGATGCCTTGCATTTTGGAGAAACTTTGAGGAGAAATTGACTCTAAAGCCAACCATTATACATTCTTTATTTCATTCATATGCAGATATTCTTTTTACTTTTCCTTTATTTTCTCAACTTTATTTCCCTTTCTTTTCTTTTTCCCATAAAGATTCCTCATGGAAATTGTAATTTAATACCTTACCAAAAACAACCAATAATGATTATATACTCGATTAACGTTTATAAAACAAATGATACTACTCGAATAATTGAATTGAGAATATTTTGTACATTTTCATTTGACTTGATTCATAGCATGGTGTAACAGTTCAAATCTAACGTTAGAAGATATTGTCCTCTTTGGACTTTTCCTTTTGAGCTTCTCCTCAAGGTTTTAAAACACGTACTTGAGGGAAAAGTTTTCATACTCTTGTAAAGGATGTTTCGTTCTCCTCCTCAATCAATGTGGAATTCTCACAATCCACCCCCGACGCTAGCAGATATTGTCTTCTTTGGACTTTCTCTTTCAGACTTCCTCTCAAAGCTTTAAAAGTCGTCTGCGAGGGAAAGGTTTTCATACCCTTATAAAGGGTGTTTCGTTCTCTTCCTCAATCAATGTGGAATTCTCACAATCCACCCCCGACGCTAGCAGATATTGTCTTCTTTGGACTTTCTCTTTCGGACTTCCTCTCAAAGCTTTAAAAGTCGTCTGCGAGGGAAAGGTTTTCATACCCTTATAAAGGGTGTTTCGTTCTCTTCCTCAATCAATGTGGAATTCTCACAATCCACCCCTCTTAGGGGCCAGTGTTCTCGCTGACACTCGTTCCTTTCTCCAATCGATGTGAGACCCCCACCAAATTCACTCCTCTTCGAGGAACAGCCTCCTCGCAGGCACATCGTCCGGTGTTTGGCTTTGATATACCATTTGTAACGATCCAAGTCCACCGCTAACAGATACTGTCTTCTCTAGGTTTTTCCTTTCAAGATTCCCCTCAAGGCTTTAACATGCGTTTGCGAGGGAAAGGTTTCTACACCCTTACAAAGTTTGTTGTAGCTTCTTGACTCTCGTCCTTATAATTAGACCTTAAGGTATGGAAATTCCTTAGTCGTGATTCATATCAGGGTGTTTCGTTCTACTCCCAACCAATGTGGGATTCTCACACATGGTCTACTCGAATTAAGAATAACTTTTGTTTGGGTCGGAGAATTATATGTTTAGGTTAATTAAAAAAAATAATTAATAGAAAGGGAAAAAAGGTATTGTGGAATATTGATTTTCTTTAGTAAACCAACTTTTTCTTTTGTCCCCCACTTGCCTAAGATAGTTAAGATCTCTACGGCTAATTATTTTGTGTGAATTTTTAAAGATGTGATTTGATTTTGGGGGAAAAATTAAAGGAGTAAAGTAAAGGTTGCCATTAAATTATTTTTTTTATAAAAAAAAAAGGTGAAAAGAAATGTGACAAAATGGAGTGGAGAAGAAGAGAAGGTATTGGCAAAGGGGGCTTTATAATTGGGCAACGGGAGGGAACGTACAACGTTCCTCACGTTTGGAAATTGTTCTTCTAACAACCGTAAAAATAAATAAAGAAACAAACAAACAAAATTGACCGCCTCTCTTTTCATCTCTCTAGCTCTTTCCCTAAAATACATCTCGTATCTCGTATCAATAGTTTACCTTAAAAAAATTCAATTAAACCTGAAATAATATTGACTTATTTTTTTAATTTAAGTTTTATTACCGAACCTAATATAGAAACAATGAAAACATGGAATTTGATTTTTTTATTAAGTCAATTAAGTTTATATTCAAAATAGGTGAAAACTCATACAAGTGAGAACAAAATCGAAGATGAAAGCATCCAAATTTGGATCTAGAAATATGGCTAAGGTCAACCAAGTGAGTGACTTTACTATACGATAGACTAGAAATTGTATGAGTTACAATTTATAATGTATGAGCTACGATGTGCATGAGTTGTATCGTATGATGCCGTATACTAGTATACGATGATGTATGAGCTGTATCGTATGATGTCGTACACTAGTATATAATGATATATGAGTTATAATGCTTGAGTTATGATGCATGATGATGTGCGTAATGTATATATTTTTATGGATGATATACTTGATATACTTGATATGCTTGATGCACTTTATGGCGATATGACGAGTATGATGATTGCATGATGTTTGTCTTATTATATTGATGTTTTCCCTATTAAGCACGCTATATGATGATGAGTGTCATATTGCATCATGTCAATAGACCGATATAGGACAAAATCCTATTGGCATAAAAATGAAATTAATATAAATATTCAATGAGCACGTGTTATTTAATGTAACAAAGAGATGAAATTAGAGAGTTGTGTCGGAAGAGATGATAAGATGGAAATTAGTGGGACCTCATCCATGTTGTATGTTCATCAGCATAGGGATACTTCCCTTAGAGATGATGAATGCGGACGCCCACAGTATGATGATGAGGGTGTTCATGGGGAGCATGACACTAGGGGTTCCATTGACCTCCAAACGTTGCTACAGAGTAGTTTGACCAGAGAAGGTCCAAGGGGTGTGCGAGCTCCCTAGGGATTCACACTCGCACGTGTGGGTCGTGTGTAGGGAAATACTACACATCCATAGTGGTCCGAGACTGGAGGCCACCCCTAGATGAGATAGAGATAAGTCTCAAGACCATGATTGCATGTGTTTGCATTAGCATGGCTCCTATAGTGGAGTCACTTACTGAGTATTTTTCGAGATACTCATGCCGTGTACCACATCACTTTTTTTTTTCTGGTAAAGGCAAGACTCCCATGTATGGATGACGGCGGCATCGCAAGCAGAGACTATGGCACGTACATAAGGTAA